ATGTTTTATATAAAGTAAATACAAATTTTATGAAGTAGAATATAAATAAAATGAACTATAAAACTTAAAAAAATGCGTATACTTTTTTATAATGATGATAACATTCAATTACCTGATGCATCTACTGAAGAATTGCCGTCGTTTAATATCTCAAAGTTCGAAGACTACGTCAAAGACGATAAAAGAATTATGTTTCCAGATTCAAACTTAACAGTTTCAAATGTGTTACTGATGGTTTTTGGATTTTCCATTAGATTTTCGCTTAGTTATAAAGGAAGACGTGAGTTGATTAATTTGATAAAAGTTTTAGCCGGTCGTAAATTTGAATTTTGGAATATAAGCGATTACTATTTATCCGAAATATTTGATCCTTCCGATGAAGTAATTAAGTATCATTTTTATTGTGAAACATGTAAGAAACCTTTGGAACCTTCCACTACAAAAAAAAAATTCAAGAACCACCAGACTATTTGTAAGAAATGTTTGACACACTACAAACTATCGATGAATAGTCCTAATTATTTTATTTCCATTGACGTTCGATATCAATTGAGAACTTTTTTAAATACTGATGTTTTAAGAAACGGTTTGTTTGAAAACATTGAAAAAATTATGTTGAATGTTCAATGCGAGGAAAGTATTAACGATGTTTACAACAGCGAACTTTATCAGAAACAAATAGGTGCGCCAAGGATAAATGAATTAATAAAACTAACTTGCACTTTCAACACGGATGGAGCACCACTGTTTCATAGTTCAAAAAGAAGCTTTTGGCCCATTCTGATGCTTATTAATGAATTACCACCTCATTTACGTTTCAAATATCCTATTTTAGCAGGAATGTTAATAACGAAAAAAGAACCAACACCAGAAATGATGAACATATTCATCGAACCTTTTGTTCAACAATTTTCTGATTTTAATTCCAAGGCTTTTCAATGGACAAATAAAGAAGGCGAAACTTTTAAATTCCTGTTGTATGCTCTATTGAGTAGCGTTGATAGTGTAGCACGACCTATTTTACAAAACCGAATTCAATTCAATGGACATTGGGGTTGCTCTTGGTGCTACATATTTGGAATTTATTTAGCGAATTCAATGAGATTTATTCTACAGGAAGAAGACCCGAAACTTAGAACTCATGAATCACATATTGAAAATATGAACGCTGCAGAAAAATAACATAAATCCAGAACTAAGAATACCAAAACTGCAATAAAAAAATGTTTCGTTGAGGGTGTTAAAGGATATTCTGTTTTATCGGAAGTGCGAACATTGGACATGGTGTGGAGTTTTGTTAGAGACGATCTTCATGCGGATTTATTAGGTGTAGTTTCTCAGTTGTGGGACATTTGGACTGAGAAAAACAGTGCAATATGTTTATCAAAAGAACAACAACAGGAAATTGACAAGCGCATTTTAAATATGACACCTCCTAATGAAATTCATCGTTTACCAAGGTCACTATTGAGTGAAAAAGCAAAATGGAAAGCCGCAGAATGGCGCTCGTGGCTACTGTTTTATGCAGTTCCGTGTTTAACAGGAATATTAGATGAGTGCGCTGTAAAACATTTTGCTCTTTTATCTAACAGTATTTTTACGCTCCTACAAAAACGGATAACTGAAGAAGAGATTAACCAATGCGACATGGATCTTTTAAAATTCGTCGGACTATTTGAAATTCTGTATGGAGAAGAGAACATGACTTTCAATGTCCACAGCGCGAGTCACGTGACTTTATCTGTAAAAAGGAGCGGTCCATTGTGGGCAACTTCCACATTTGCTTTCGAAAATGCCATCTACTACTTAAAGCAATGCGTACATAGTCCAAAGGGCGTCTATGAGCAAATGACCAAAAGGACACTACAAGCAAGTGTTTTTAAATCAATAATAGATAAAACACCAGACATGTCCCCTTGCATGACGTATTGTGATTCGTTGTTTAACAGATCAGAAGTGGAAAATTATTGTCGAACAGTATCTGACGATGTAGTTTTTATCGGTAAAGGTAAACAAGATTGTAATTATTCAAATTTGTCGAATACAGACAATTGTGTTTCAAGTTTTGAAAGATGTGTATTTAGAAAAATGATTGTACATAGCACTGAATACAAGCGACCGCAAAAAACAAACAACACTGTATTTCAATTACAAAATGGGGACTTCGTTAGAGTAGTTAATATATTAAAATGTGACAATGAGGGCTGGGTTGAAATCGAAAAATTAAATGTAAATAAGTTAAAAATTGAATGTTGTAAAAAAATACATTACCGGGCACAAAATGTAATACTACAAACACCGTCCATTCGAAAAATATCAGGAAAGTTGACTCGTACAATCCAAGAGAAGTTATACCGATTACAAACATCGTCGAAAAGTGTATTGTAATTAATGTAGAAAAAGATACATTCCTTTCAATTTTGCCAAATACTGTTGAAATACAATAAACTTCTTAATTCAACATAGTTGCTTTTAATACTATTCCAAAATATGAAATATATTTAAAACAGAAAGTTTAACAAATTTTTCTCATTTAAAATTTTAAAAGAATTAATGTAAATAGCTTACGAAATATCCCTAAATCAATTTAAAAAAAAATTTTTTAAATTAAAACCAGTTTGTATTAAAATCTTTAATAAAACTATAGTCGTACTGTTGCGAAATATTTAAGGATAGATTACCTACAAGTTTCAGAATATTAAGGATTTTTAACTTATCCCACTTTTTTATTATATTAAAAACAAAACATTCACACAAACACCGGATTCTATACACTCATATTGAACAGTTTCCAAGTAACTTCAGAAGAAGACTTTATCTGACTAATTTCACACCGACGCGGACTAAAACCGGATTCATTACATACTGCAGTCGGAATGTTCCGCAATCATCATACTAATTTTGTAATATTCCGCCTGTTTGCAAATAGATTACGTACAAGTTCCAGATTATTCCAGATTTGTGTCTTGTTGCCGTGCTTTAGTCATATATAAATCGCGGATCAATTCAGAGCATTTTCGTACTATATATGCATACTAATTTCGGATAGATTCATCGCAATTTCGGATTAAGACTTTTCCAGACTAATTTTGGATTAATGCGGGCCAAAACAAGATCTACTACATACTTCAATCTTATTGTTTCGTACTCAATTCGATTAAGGATATTAACCAACTAATTTCATACTATTGCGGACTGTTTGCAACTAAATTACGTACAAATTTCAGATTATTCCGGATTTGTGTTTTGTTGCCGTGCTTTAGTCTTATATAAATCGGATCGATTTAGAGCATTACCGTACTATATATGCATACTAATTTCGGATTGATTCAAAGTAATTTCGGATTAAGAATTTCCCAGACTAATTTCGGATTAAAGCGGACCAAAACCAGATCTACTACATACTTCAATCTTATTGTTTCGTACTCAATTCGATTAAGGATATTAACCAACTAATTTCGTACTATTGCGGACTGTTTGCATATAAATTTTGTACAAGTTCCAGATTATTCCGGATTTGTGTCTTGTTGCCGTGCGTCAGTCATATATAAATCGGATAGATTCAGAGCATTATCGTACTATATATGAATACTAATTTCGGATTGATTCAACATAATTTCGGATTAAGAATTTCCCAGACTAATTTCGGATTAAAGTGGACCAAAACCAGATCTACTACATACTTCAATCTTCTTGTTTCGTACTCAATTCGATTAAGGATATTAACCAACTAATTTCATACTATTGCGGACTGTTTGCATATAAATTTCGTACAACTTCCAGATAATTCCGGATTTGTGTCTTGTTGCCGTGCGTTAGTCATATATAAATCGGATCTATTCAGAGCATTATCGTACTATATATGAATACTAATTTCGGATTGATTCAACATAATTTCGGATTAAGAATTTCCCAGACTAATTTCGGATTAAAGCGGACCAAAACCAGATCTACTACATACTTCAATCTTATTGTTTCGTACTCAATTCGATTAAGGATATTAACCAACTAATTTCATACTATTGCGGACTGTTTGCATTTAAATTTCGTACAACTTCCAGATAATTCCGGATTTGTGTCTTGTTGCCGTGCGTTAGTCATATATAAATCGGATCTATTCAGAGCATTATCGTACTATATATGCATACTAATTTCGGATTGATTCAACATAATTTCGGATTAAGAATTTCCCAGACTAATTTCGGATTAAAGCGGACCAAAACCAGATCTACTACATACTTCAATCTTATTGTTTCGTACTCAATTCGATTAAGGATATTAACCAACTAATTTCATACTATTGCGGACTGTTTGCATATAAATTTCGTACAACTTCCAGATAATTCCGGATTTGTGTCTTGTTGCCGTGCGTTAGTCATATATAAATCGGATCTATTCAGAGCATTATCGTACTATATATGCATACTAATTTCGGATTGATGCAACGTAATTTCGGATTACGAATTTCCCAGACTAATTTCGGATTAAAGCGGACTGAAACTGGATTCTTCACATACTAAATTCGGAATGTTTCGTTCTTGGTTTGGACTTATATTTTTGAACTGAACTAATTTCGTATTATTGCGGACTGTTTGCGAATATTGTGCATACAATTTCCAGATTATTTCACTGTTATGTCGGATTAAGTTTTTTGTTCGGACTGAATTCGAAGTGAAGCGGATTGTTTTCATATTTTGCCTATACTATTTTCGGATTTTTCCTTATTAATTGCTGATTCGTTTTTTTTCGGATTCGCATTTGGATTGTTTCGGACAGATTGCGGTTTGATTTCGTAGATATTCCAGATTAATGCGGTCTAATTTTGGATTTGTCGTTTTGTTCAGACTAATTTCATACTAATGCCGATAACTTTCGTACTTATTTCGTACATTTTTCCTACTTATCCAGTCTATTCTGTCCGAATTTGATACGAAACTTATCCGACTTTTTTACCAGGGTGGACTTTCGAAATCGACGGCTTGGGAATGCGTTTCGGAAGTTACACATGTACTGTGCGCACGCGCATCCACTTTTATTTCGTGGCCTAGAGGACACGCGATTACGGTCAGCCAAAGGGATTTCATGGCATTGGGCGGATTCCCAGGAGTGATTGGCGTCATTGATGGATGTAATATCCAGATTAGTGCGCCACATGAAAATCCGGACAGTTATATGAACAGAAAAGGATATCACTCCATAAACGTGCAAGGAATATGCGACTCCAGTAGGCGTTTCATTGACGTTTATGCGGCTTGCCCTGGAAGTGTCAATGATGCGCGAGTATGGTCCCTGAGTACGATTAATCAGGAAATTCAAAGAGATTATGACCGGTATTTTCCTGATCAAACCCACATTATCGGAGACAAAATATACCCAGTACGATTCTATTTAATGCCACCGTACAAGGGCATAAGAAATTTGGGACCGATGGAGCAAGAATTCAACCGAGTTCACATATTGACGCGTCAAATAATTGAAAGAGCATTTGCCCTATTGTTGCAGCGGTTTCGACGCTTGAAAAACTTGTATGTACAAGACGTTGCAAACGCTGCTTTAATCATTCTCGCATCTTGCTGCCTCCACAACATCTGTATTTCATTAAATGATGTACTGGCGGAGGAAGAAATTTTGTTGGGAAATGTTGGCGGTCATGATGATGAAGACGATGAAGATCTTGAGGAGGAAGATGAAATTATTCAATTTCCAGCAGTTATGAAGCGGAATGTTATTGCTCAACAGCTTTATGAAAATCGAAGACGGCAATAATCAACTCTTCTCTTGAATGGAGTGAAAAAAATCATTAAACTCGTGTTTCTCGTATCATGTTTTTCGTGTCTAACAGTTTCGTCAATCAAATACTTGGTTATTTCTCGGTTTAAGCAACGAAATTTTTTTATCAATTAGTTATTAAAAGTAAGTTGTAAAATATTCTATATTTTATAAAATAATTATAGGGACAGAAACTTTATGCTTTTTATTGGAACGATTTATACTCTTAAATATTGTCAATTATGCTGTAATTATTATGCTCTTAAAAATATTGACTTTTGCTTTATGTATGAATAAAGTATTTCGAAAAATTGAATACTTGAAAATTAAAAGTATTCAAAATATAACTTTTGCAAATAAAATTTTTAAACAATATGATGAAGGTATTTCTCTCACATTTGTACTTGAAAATCTCGATTTTGATAATAAAATATTATTAAATTTTTTAGAAAAATTTTCCTTAGTAAAAAATAAAACCTTGTATTTTGTAACCAAAGTTATGACATAAAGTGCAGGAATCACAGTACGCTTTCTTCCTTAAAATATGAGAAAAGGTACATTCTTTTCCAAAAGTATGTAATTTACCTGAAAGTTAATGAAAATTTACTCAAAACACTTTATTAAGTAAAAATCTTTAAAAAAAAGTTAAATGTATATATTTTTAAAAAAATTCTAATCTCAATTCTTACAAAAATTATTTTAAAAAATTATTAAATTCATTTATTATTTGGAAAAATTGTCAATATTAAAACTCACAAGACTTTTTTTTTAAACAAATCTATTAAAAAAATAAATTTTTTAAAATTATTCTAAATTTTAAAAAATTGAAAATTAAGTTATGGCACATTTCCAATCGATTAAAAATTACATTATTCCGAATTTCAACGAATTCAAAATTCACTTATTCCCAATCAATTTAAACTTCAATTATTTGAAATTTGTAAATGTTTAATAATTTAATTCTTATATGATTAGAATCTGTAAGAATGTAATTAATATTTTCTTAAAAATTGAAATAACAGAGTTTTTAATTTGTAAAATAACTGCATTCATAATTGATTAAAATTTAGAATAGTTGAATTTTTATTTGATTGCAATCAGTAGTAGTTTAAATTTTTTTAAATTTAAAATAATTGAATTTTTTAAAGATCGGAGTGCGTGGAATAATTGAATTCATTATTGAAATTATTAAAATTTAGAATAGTTGAATTTTTAACTGATTGGAGTGTGTTGAATAATTGAATTTATAAATCGTTACAATTTAAAAGAATTGAATTTTTAACTAATTGCTGTGTGAAAGAATTGAATTTATAATTAAAATTAAAATTTCGAAATAGGGTCAGTCGGGGTAAATCCGAACGGGGGGTAAATCCGAACGCTAATTATTTCAGCTTAATTAAAATTTTTAAAAATAAGTTCGATATGAGAATTTTTACCTCAGATCCTCTTCAAGAGATTCTAAGTATTATCCCATTTTTCGTTTGTTAATTAGCAACAGCATAAACAAAGATAACGAGTATTGCAAAAAAGATTGAAAATCAAAGATGACACTCTTTCAGTATTTTGTCTCGTATTTCAAGAAAAAGAAGCTAAAAATTCATTTTATTATTTATAATTGTTTGTTATGAATACTAGAACAGAAACTATATTTGATTTTTGCCTTCTGTAAAATTTTATTAATAATATCAGACCGTTCGTATTTACCCAAGAAAATTGGAAAACTGGGGTAAATCCGAACGGTATTTTTAATAATTTTTTTTTACATCAAAGCCACACAAAATTGTTTTTATTTGATTACACTATTATTTTAACATTATAAAAGTACATAGAAAAAAGTTTTTCTTTCTATACGTATCCTCGTTAGTAATTAATAAGCAGAAACTTAATCTCTGTTCTCTCGAAGGAGTGTTTCAATTTTTTTGCCAAATGGTTTGTTGAAAAAAGTTTTTCAGGATCTTAATAAAATTTGGTATTCTACGGTTTTTGGGGTCGCTAATTACCAATTTGAAGTCAGTTTTTCAAAATTCAAAATGGCGGACGAGAATTAAAAAATTCATTGGATTCGCTCGAAAATTGTTACTCGGAGGGTTTCAGGGTTAGCAAATTTAATCATTTTTAAAAATAAGTTTTAGGAAAGTACGCCATTTTGAATTTAAAAAATTTGACTTTTATTGTTGTATTTACATTCAATCACTCCAAAATACTTTCTGTACCAAGTTTTGCAAAAATCCGTTATGATTTGATAAAGTTATTGAAGGTTTTAATTGTGCAATGCATTTTAATTTTTAACCTGTTTGATTTTTGTATTTATATATGATGCATTATTACATAATAGGTTTATTATCGTATTTTTTTTGAGTTTTTATATAAGTTTAACAATTGCAATACTTTAAATTTATTTTCCCTAAGATTTTTCTGAAATACAGTGGCGTTCGTATTTACCCCCATATTTTAGGAAAGTTGCAAAGTATCGAGGTAAATACGAACGCTAAGTTTCCTGCGATTGTAATTTATCAAAAATTTTTTCTACCCCATAAAATTGTTCTATGGAAGTAAAGTAACAACTTCATGCACCAGAATACCGGAAGTATTTTTTTTTAAAGAAAAAACTTATGTTATTGTTGAAACTTACTAAAAGCGTTCGGATTTACCCCAGTTGACCCTAATTGATTTTTTAATTGACTGAAATTTAAATTACATAGTTTTCAATTAATTATATTTTGAATTAACTGAATTTGAAATTGATTACAATTTAATAAATAAATGAATGTTTTAATTAATATTTTGAGTAATTGACTTTGTAATAATTGATTATATTTTTAATATAGATTGAAGCTCAAAATGGAAAATATAAAAAAAAAATCTCAAAATAGGTGAAATGGGTTATGAAATCGAAGGAAGGTGAAAATGTAACAGTCTGTGATCCCTGCATGTGAATTCAAATTTTAAACTTTTATCAAAATCACTGTATAAGTTCAAAATTTGAATTTAAATAGGATAAGCGCACAAATTGTGAATATTGCTGAAAAAATAATTATAATTAAAAATTAATGTTACTACTAATTTTGATACAAATATAAATTTATTTTTTTCTTTTTATACAAACAAACTTTCTTTTTGGTACATCTGTAATACTGTTCCTTCATTTGCAGTAAATAAATATACCTATACAAACAAGCAAAAAATATCTAAAAATAACTTATTTTAAATATAAAAAGTAAAAACTATACAAGTGAAAAATTCAAACTCTCTTAAAAAGTTTATAAAATTCCGGTGCTTGATATAATTTTTATATCTTTTCACTTATATGTATCCATTGCACTACAATGTGGTTGACAATAAAATAAAAACTAATTGCTATCGTGGCGTTGTACTAGCAGTGGATCAGTCGGAAAAAAACCATCTCATTGGCATATTTGACCAATAGAAAAAATAAAAAAAAACACAAAACAAATTGCACGGAATTAATATTTTCGGCGAGAGCAATGCAGCAATTCAATTGGAGTTTACTTTTTGATTCACATGAATTTTTTAAATAATTTTTAAATAGTTTTTAAACTATTTGTGTTTTTGACCATTTAAAAATTAAAATACAATTTTTATAAATTTAATTGTTTTAAACTAAAAATCTAAATTTTGAAACGTAAGATAAATTTTTTATAAAAAATTTAATTTTTTAATTCACATATAAGATTTTTATCGACATTTTTAAAAGAATACCTATATTTCACTAGTTAGTATTAAAAATATTCCGCTCAGAAATTTACCTTTATTTTTAGTGTAATAATTTTGTCCAACATTACAAGTTATGTTTATTTTTATTATAAAAAATTAACTTCGTTCATTTATGTAAATCAAAAAGCAAACAAATCGAGCGTTTTTTTTTATTAATGTAATTATTAATTATCAGTCTGTTATTCCTACGCTGCTAACACATAATTGTGAATTGCTGCTTGCGCATCGAACAAGAGCACACAACAAATTGCAAAATTGCTTAAAATCTATACTATTCTTAAAAAATTTGAATACATAACATTATTCCCTACTGAAAATCCCTGTATAAGATCTTGTACAACTTCCTGTACAGGATCAGCAACTGAAGTTGTACAAGTTCTGACCAGTTCCTGTACAGGAAAATGCATACGAATTTGGAACAAGTTCATGTGTGAGATCTTGTACAAGATCTGGTGCAAGATCTTGTACAAGAAAATGTTCATGTACAATTTCATGTATAAGTACTTGTACATGAACACGTCCATGTTCTTGCACATGTTAATTCATGTTTTTCTTTACTAAAAATTAAAAACTTCAAAGGCTGCGCAATAGTTTACTTTAACCTTTACAGCTGCGCAATAGTTTTTAGCATGCATGAGTTACGAATCTTAGTGGTTAAAAATTATCAAAATCTCAAATTTTATTAAAAAAAAAAATTTTACAACTATTTCATGTGCAAGAACATGAACGTGTTCATGTACAAGTACTTATACATAAAATTGTACAAGATCATGTACATTTTCTTGTACAAGTATCTTTCTTGTACAAGATCTTGCACCAGATCTTGTACAAGATCTCACGCATGAACTTGTTCCAAATTCGTATGCATTTTCCTGTACAGGAACTGGTCAGAACTTGTACAAGTTCAGTTGCTGATCCTGTACAGGAAATTGTACAAGATCTTATACAGGGATTTTCAGTAGGGTTTTTTAAAAATTTTTCTTGAAACAACAAAACTGGAAATTCCATTTGCTTAATCTTTTTCAGGATCTTTGGGTTTTTTCTTTTCAGCTTGAAAGAAACCTCTCAATATATCCAAGAATTCGTCTTTCCTTTGTAAAGTTGCTTGAAACCGAATATTTGCATCATCGTTCACCTCTCTTAACGTCATTGGACGTTCCTTTGTCACAGTTCGCTTCTTCGGTTTACTTTCTGCACTTTTATTTTCGTCGATCTCGCGAGCAATTTTTCTCTTGTAGCCCTGCAAACTGCTGGCAACTGCTGGCGGCTGAATTTCAGGTTTCTTGAACAAAAGCAAATCCATTTCATCGAAAAATTGCCATTTTTTTTGCGGACTCGTGCCGGTTTGTTTCTTCTTATCAATGATTCCTTTGTAAGTTCTTTGAAGCCCATCAAATTTCGACTCGCAGATGCGTCCATCAACTTTATATCCTTGTTCGTGCATGATTTCCGAAATTTTCATCCAAAATCTGTCGCCTTTTAAATTACTTTTAGCTTTTGTCTTTGAATAATTTTCAATTAAGGCAAGGGTCATTTCCGGCGTCCAAGTTGAACGAACTTTTTCTAAAAATAAAGCAAAATATTTTAATAAAAATTAAATTTAATAAATAATAAATTATTTAAGCCGAGGGGTGAACAAACCATAAATTATGGTGTACAATTGTGTTGAATTATCCTGAATTACTATAGATCACAGTGAATTACCTCAAATTATGTTGAATAATAATAATAATAATAATAAAGTATCAAGATGTCTAGAAAATTAAAAATTTAGCATTCCTACGATATTCGCTGTTTTTTCTCAGTTTTTAAAATTATTATTTCGAACAATTTTAAAAAATTTAAATAATAAATTGATTTAATACAGTGCAGTTGCTTCAAACTACATAAGAAAAACATTAAAACATTAAAAATAGATAATTCTCAAATTTAATTCCCTGTTTCTTTGCAATAGTGTAAAATTATTTCAAAACATTCAAATTTTAATTTCTTTCAAAATCAGCATTCTGCGAGGTATTTTTTTATAAACAATTTTTTTCACTCCATAATTAGAGCACAAAATATATACATACTTTTAGTACACAAATTAGAAAATGCCTTGTTTCGTTCTCAGGTAATTTAAATAACTTAATTAACTAAAGTTAATAAACTATAAAATTAGGGCATTTTAATTTTTCAATTAAGATTTTGAAGCACAAAGACCTTCAAAAACAAACAAACGTTAATAGATTTAAAATCGAATAGACGATTTTTTTCAAAAACATTTATTAGTTTTGTCACTCAGCAAAATTTATTAATGAAAAGTTGTAAAAATCAAGTGTGAAAAATTAAATTATTTAAATAATTTATTTTCAAGTTTTATATCCATTCAAAGAATGTTTTGAAGAACCCTTCGGACGATTCTTTCAAATCATGGGCATAATTTTTTGGCTTTTTTTAGTTAAAATAATTTTAATTTAACAAAAACAAACAATAAAAATTATTAAAATAATATATTTACAAGTTTTTATTTGTTTGAGGAATGTATCGAAGAAATCTTTGGACGATTCCTTCGAGAAGACGAATTTCTGAAAATGATATTCGAAAATCATTGGCATAATTTTTTTTTATATTCTTTTATATAAAAACACTTGAATTCAATTGATTAAAAACAAACAATAAAAATTATTTAAATAATTCATTTCCAATTTTTTTTCATTCAAAGAATTTTTTTGAATTCTTCAATCGCTTGCTCTGAAAAGACAATTTCTCAAAATTATTTTTGAAAATTATGGGCATGATTTTTTAGAATTTTTTTTAGTAAAATTAACTTAAATTTATCACATTAAAAAAATTTAATAATACTATTGCAAACAATTACGCGATTTTTGATTTCTTAATTAGGATTTCAAAGCCGAAAGTCCTTTGAAAGCAATTGAACAAACGTTAATTGATTGACAATTAAATGGAAGATTTTTTGCAATGGATATTCATTTTTGTTTTGAATCTTGATGCTTTTTATTACAAAAATTATAAAAATATTGTCAATAATTAATTATTTGTTAATTTTTTTTTTTTTTTTTTTTCAATTTATACTCCTGTCCTATTGGCCTAACGCTCTTGACAAGAGTCCCCGAGGAATACTTTTTGATTGGAAGCATAACCCTGAAAATTATTCTAAATTATTAACCTAGTGCGCCTACAGTACGACTTTCGACGATAGGAGTACTCGCATTTGCCTGGACCACCCGTAATGGGTTTTCTCGCCAGAGGAGTAGGAAAACTGTAGAAAACCTCTCCTGAGTACAACCGGCTTATTGACAACCGAGTTCCAGCGGTGTGAATCGGACAATTAATCGACAATCCACACCGTTGTACCTCGGCGTCAAGCCTACGCTCGGTATGTCTTCACGTGGTGAAAACACATCCGGTCACTGCGTTCACAAAGGGTAACCCATCTTTGCACTAACCGTGCTCAGAAGTGCTTAACCTCATCGAACGCAGACCAAGTGTTCTCAGCACCAAGCCATTACCGGCGGTTAATTATTTGTTTATTAATAGATAATAATTATCATTTTGTATTATGTATTATTCTACGAATTTATATCTCAATTTTTTTCTTAAAATTGATTATTTGTATTTTTTTTAAAGTACATATAGTCACTTGAAAAAAGTGTCCTAATATTTTTAGATAACTAATTTAAATCAGGAAAAATGTAGAAATTAATTTCTATTTTTTTTTCACTGATTGATTACGGTCCTGTCTGAAATGTAATTGGACTTTTTTGTCCGGTTCTTATCCGACACTTGAAGCAGGGAATTGTTTACCCCTCGATTAAAGCATACTATTTAATTCATCAAAGCTTACTTGACACGTTATTCTCTTTATTTTCAACATCGCAATCGTCTGGAAAAAGTTGGTTTGGCCGTTTGTCCGCACTTTTCTTCTTTCCCTTATTCACGAATTTCGCTAATTCAATTTCTAAAAATAAAAAAACAATTATATTGTGCTTACAGCATACTTTATTTTTTAATTTTCATTAGTTTAATTTAATTTATTTGTAAACATTTCTTGACAAACTGTCATATTGAATAATTTTTATTAAAAGAATTTTTAAATAACACAAATTGAATATAACAAAATTTTTATTCTATTAACTTTCTTTGCATAAAATAGCAGGGATCATGGTGGTTTCTTGACCTAAAACGGAGAGAAAATGGAAATTTAGATTATCAAAAAAGAGTATTTTTCATTAAAAAAAAGGGAGGGGGGGGATTATCTAAATTAAGCGAATAATTTTCGTATTATTCCACATACACTTTATTTGACAAAACTTTTTTTTTTCTATTTTTATAGAGCTCTTCTAATTGAATCAGATATTTAAAGAAAAAATTTTAAATGATCAGCATTTTTTGTTTTTTACTTTCTCTTTACACTACTTTTGTTTTTAACTTGTATTGTACTTTATGCAACCACCTTAATATAAAAAATGCTAGTTTTAAGATTATTTTTTCTCATTTGAAAATTGCAAAAAGGTAAAATATTTTTTGAAAAATTAATCAATAATTTTTAATTTTACATAAACGTATAAAAATTAAAAGTCTCCTGCTTAAAAACGATCCCCCTTTTCTCCCGTAATCATTTTCAAACATTAATCAATATTTAAAAAGAATTTTTTAAATTTTATAAAATTTGTTTACAACATTTAGTTTCAAAGTTAAGTTTGAAACAAACTTTACATGGGTATTGAAAAATAATTTTTAGATTAATTAATAAATATTATGAACTTTAAATATAATTTTTTTAAGTTTAATTAAAAAATAACCTATATATAGAAAATTTTTAATATTTTCGTTGCATTTTTGTTTTACGTTGAAGGGATTACACCATTTTAATTTTTCAAAAAATAAAAAATTTATGGATTAGTTATGATTAAACTATTAGAAAAATTTTAAATGCGTTCTTTGAAATTCAATTTTAAAATTCGTTGGCATGCACCTGTGCCAATGTTTAGTTCATCCTCTTCAACCATGTTAATTGTTTATTTTATTTGTAATAGAATTTTGTTAACCGCAGTGCCATCGATTTTTACAGCGCTGTACCAACTCACCTGTTAAATCAATATTTCAAAAAAAAATAAATAAATGATATTAAAAAAATGGTACATCAACCAAAAAAAATGACTGCATCAATTCTCGAGTCTCATTAACTCGAAAAATGGAGCGGGCATAAAATATTGAAAGTAGGATAAAATTCTGCTTTAATCAACTTGAAGTATTATTAAGAAAATGTCGAATCAAGTAAATTTGACATGAACTAATTATAATTTTAAATGAACAATTATTTTATTATCGTTGATATGAAATTTAATTTAATATGTATTTGAAAGGATAAAGATTATTTAGAAATTATTTTTGTTTCAAAATTTTCTAAAGCATACTATAATATTTATATGAAGAAAAAAAAAAAAAAAAAAAAAAAAAAAAAAAAAAAAAAAAAAAAAAAAAAAAACAATTATGATCATCAACAAATTGTGCATTGACGGCGACTATAACAATTACCCAATAATAATTTTAAATTAAAAACACCATTGGATTGTCAAATAAATAAATTATATGATAACGTCCGTATGAAATGAGACCCCTTTATTGGCACTAAATTGAACTTGTCTATTTACAGTTAAAAAAATAAATGAATAAATAAGTAGCAATATTAGAAAATTTGGAAAATTACCGAGATCCATTTCATTTTCATTATCCTGATTGTTGTTATCATCGACATCGCCACAATTATCTTCATGGCCATGACCGCTATCATATTGATCGCCATCGACAAAAGCATCGTCATATTTATCGTTATTGCACTCGTTAATCAAATAATTGTCTACTTCAATATTATTTGAAGTAGACGGCTGAAGAAATGATAATTCATCTTTCGAAAAAGTGGGTATCTTAATTGTCATCTCGTCAGGTGAGACGTAACGTACGTCTTCGTCTCCTACAAACAAACAAAATTTTTGACAATGTCTACTCAATTAATTTTTATTGCGAATTTTCTAGACGACAAAACTTTATTTTAAAAAAAATTTTGATTTCAAATCAAATCTACTTAAGGGGAGGGACCGGTAAAATTTTAACCCACCAAAATTAAAGCTTTTTAAGGGTTGTCAATTTTTGTTATGATAATATTGAATATTTAAAATTATAATATACCATAAAAAATTAAAAAACTATAAATTTGTTAATAATTTTTTCAATACAATTCAAAATTCTAGAGAAATTAAAATTTAAACTTCTCTTACAATTTTAATTATTTTTCACTGACAATTTTTGTATACGCTTTTTTCATGATTCTGTATTATAATCAAGCGTATGGATTTTAAAAAATTTTAATTTTTTTAAAATAGTTAAAAATTATTTTTATTTTATTTTATTTTCCATAGTGGAATATGATTTTAGGTTGTTAAAAAATGTTAAAAAAAAAAATTGCTGTCCCTTAACAAGATGAATTTTGTTTGGTTTTTATTTTCTTGGTGCGATTCTTTAAAAAATCATACTTCTTCTACAATTTTCATTATAATTCATTACCGAACTTTTTATTATTTCTCTTTTTACTTTTTTTTTAAAAAAATCTTAACTTTTACATATAGGTAATAAATTTCCTAAAATGATCAAACAATTTTTTTTTCTAAATTTTAATAATATGTTCACAACAATAATGTTGGTAGGCTGAAATTTCACCTGTCTCTCCCCTCAAGTAAAACAAAACTTAACAAAACTTAACGGAATCTTCATTTTGCAAAAAAATTTCTTCTCAAAGTTCACAATTTACTAATAACAAATAATTTTTAAATATTTCAAATTCATTATTTTGAAAATTCGGATAATTGAAAACTATAAAAAAAATGTCAACATAATACATATACACATTATTTTGCACATTATTTTGCATTTTCAACAAAAATTCAATTAAAAATTACCTAATCATTTTCAATAATTTAAAAAAAATTTTTTCCAAATAAAATTATTTAAAAACAAAATTTTATTACAAGATTCCCTAAAATTTAATTATTGTTTTAAGTTTGTAAACAAAATTTTGAGCAAATCAAATTTAAAAAAATTCCTATTTCAAATTATTTACAATTCAATTATTTTTCAAGATTAACAAAAATTATATTTTAAATTAATTAATATCAACAATTCAATATAATTGGAAATAAAATTCTTGGGGAATTCAATTTATTACAATATTTTTAAATTACAAAATCTCTAAAATTCAATTATTTTTCAAAATAAAATTTTCCTAAATTTGGAATAAATAAAGTTCAAATTTGATACATTTTGAAATATAATTGAATATTTTTATCCTATACGGAGTGATAGAAATTTGAATTTATTAGTAAATAATTAAATTTTAATTTCATTTCATTTATTAAGTTAACGGGACATGCCCTTTCGTACAATAGTACTTATTATAATATAGATACAAACTTGTATATAAAAAATATAAATATAATTATAACTAGGTTGGTGCATTTTAATTATTATTTAGTATTAATCTACATAATGCCGAGGTGAATCTTGTTAAATTATTGTCAAATAGGTCTATTTCGTTAGAAATTGAATTAGCTTCTCTACTAAGTCTATCAATTAAAGCATTGTTCCCATAGTTTGTTCTATGAAATGCTACAGAAAAAAGTAAGTAATTCCTTGTTGTTCTTACTGGAACGGACAAATTTATTAATGACAGAAGAGAAGGACACTGAATAATTCCGTTTAATAGTCTGTACAAGAAACTTATATCCGCATAAAGAAACCTTGAGGAGACCAAAGGGATATTTAATATTGAACGTAAGTTATTATAATCATGCGTGTATCTATCAAAAGGAATACCAAGTTGTCTTGCAGCAAATCTAAGAAATCTATTTTGTACACGCTCAAGTCTGATAATCTGGTATACATACATTGGTGACCAAATAATACAGGCATATTCAATTATCGTTCTGACAAGTGTAAAGTATAGAACCCTCAGTGTTACAGAGCTGTGAAAAACCGATGCATTTCTCGTTATGAATTTGATTAAAATTGTGAAAGAATTTAATTTTTTATGCGTTAAAACTTTGGGTGATGAAATTTTTAATTGCGGTTCCAAAATAATTGAATTTTAAAATAATAATTGTAATTGCGACAACATTTGAGTTTTTATTTAATTAAAATTTCGATAAATATAAATTTAGACTTGAAAAATGCTGAAAAAGATGGAGAAAAAATTGTTATACAAAGTTTGGCAGATTCAATTTAAAAGGAAATTGAATTTGATTTAAACAAAAGTTTGGATGAGCTGAGTTGTAGGCTAAAACCGCATGTGACCCTTAAATTACGTATATTTTGTCAGTCACTTTTCTCTGCGCAAATATTGAATGAATCTAAAATTTTGTGGAAAAGTTGTTAAAAATTATATGATAAAGAAGGGCTGTTATGTGCGATACTGTTGATAATTGTTGAAATAATTGTAATAATAAACATTCATAAACTGATGGTAAATTTAAGGTTATGAGTAACGTCAAAATCCGATTTTTTTAATATTTTATGAATATTTATGAATATTTCAACAAATAATAACCCCTTTTCATGATATTTTAAAAATTTTACAAAAAATTTCAGATCAATCCGTTCAAATATTTGCAGAGAAAATTGCACGACAAAATACTTGTTCAAACTAGCGTACAGACCACATGCTGTTAATTATAATTAAAATGAATTAAAATTTGGATAAATTAAATTCACAAGTATAATTAGCAAAATAGATTAAATAGGGGTCTTTAAAAATTAACAATTGAAATTATCTCTTACCGTTGGAATAAGAAATGAAACAAAGTAAGGCACGATCCTCCGGTCTTATCACCAGCTCACCCGTCAGCGCATCCAGCACTGCTGTGGCACTTAAAATGACTTTTTCATCACTCATTTTCACATCAATTAATCACACAATTAAACACACGTTTATTGTACGTTTGATTGTTGCGTAGTGATTGCGTCTATCACTTGTCACTGCGGTAAACATCAACAAATCGCATTGCGCATGATCCACAAATAAATTGCAGAACTGTGAACTAGACTTTACTTTGAAAAGCAAAATTACAAAAAAGTAATTTGAGTACCACTGTTCACTGGTTACAGTTACTGCCAGTGATTGCCGAAAACACCCATTGTGAATGATGCAGGTTCAGCTTCGAACAGCTTCGCGAACCTTGCTGGGAGGAAAGTGTTGAATGTAGTATCTAGTTCTGCTACAATCCTACCTCCGAATTTTGTCTGCACCCTCTTTATTTTGGTTACAGTATATAAAGCATTTGGAGTCAACTCAGCAAGCGGTTTTGTTGGCAGGAAACTTTCCATGTGACCAATAGCGTTGAGTTTTTGTAAATCCATGATTTCTTTTTATATCTGTAAGCAGAAGTAAATGGAAAATTTTAATATAAAAATCAAAATTAAGCTGGGAGGGAAGTGGGTTAAAAAAAGGAGTTAAAGTAGAATATATACCTTATAGAAGATGGAGTAGTGATGCTAATGCTGTGGCAGCTGTGGATGTTGTTGCTTTAGTATATCTGTAACAGTTATATCTCTGGGCTTGTGTTCTGCATTATATCCCGTCAACCCTACTCTTCTTTTTCTCCCACTTCTTTTCACTCACACTTTAAAAAAGAACTGCGCACGCAACACACCATATACTATGTACCCCCACTTTATTATAATAATGCGCGCGCAATGTTGATGGGGCGACAGAGGGAGTGCGCATGAACCCCACTCTGGTTGTCAAGAGAGTGGAAAGTGGGAGAAGAGCTAAAAAATGAGTGGTTGGTAGAGGGTGACCAAGTGGGAGGAAAGTGGGTAGAATTTTCAAAAAATGACTATGCAAAGAGGTTTAAAAATTCCCGCGAGAAACAGCGCCATCTTGCGACAACAGTCGGTAACATCGGTCTATGATAAAGTAGAGTTACTATTGAAAAATAGGAACTTACCATGGAAAAAAGAAGTTTTAAAAAGTGCCGCCTTCTTCTAAAAAAACAACATTAGTATATGGTAAAATAGTTACATACCATGAAAAATATAATCGGCATGCAAATTAGTGGGTGGAAAGTGGGAGGGAAGCTTAAAATGACGTGAGTAGGTGGTAGAGGGTGACCAAGTGGGAGGAATGTGGGTGGGATTCTCTATTTTAATTCTACTGCTGCGAGTACTGAAGGTCTACTGCTGCTGATACTGGAAGCTGACACAGAATGACTTTTCTTGCCACGGGAATCGTCTGAGGTACATGTAGTCCACACCATTCACAACATCCCACCACTGAACTCCATCCCCACTTGACGCATGGACTACCAACAGGCCCCGGTGACCGTACGCGCAAATCTGCCGCACACCTTTCACTTTTGAGTCATCCACTGTGCGCCACCCACAGCCACCCACTCCCAATCACCCACAGTCGCGCGCGGTATCTCGCTAACCCTTTGTTCCTCGAGGTTCTAATTATAATTTTTAAATTTTTGGGACCGTATATGTTTATACATAGAGAAGACATATATGCAAATTATGGGGGGGTGGGTAGGCGACCAAAAGGGTTAAATTTTAAAAAATCATATGCAAATAAGGGGGGTGGTGGGTGACCAAGAGGGTGGAAAGTGGGTGGTAAGGGAGGTGACCAAACGGGTTAAAAATTTCAAAAATTCCCGCGAGCAACAGCGCCATCTCGCGACAACGGTCGGTAACATCCGCCAAGGGTAAAGTAGAGTTACCATATGTCGGTAATGTAGATACCTGCATTACCTGTGTTTTAGAACTGGCACAGCCCTACTACTATGAAGTGTCACTCATTATCATAATCTTCTCTTCTTTACCTATAAAATGTCAAGTACAGCAGTATACTGTCAGTTAAAAAGTGATTTTTCGGAAAACTCTTTACTTTTCCTCGATCGAGGTATTTTTATACTTTATTTTTCTGTATATATCAAGAATTATGTATTTTCTACCGTTTTTTCAATGTTTCAATAGTTTTTCATATTATTTTAGCAACTTTTTAGACACGAGAAATATTGCGGATGATTGGGCATAATGCATTGGACAATTGAACAAACACTCCAATTGTCCGAATGCATTTTAGACAATTGAGCAAACGGCTTGACATGACATTCGCGTTTTTATCGAGCAGGCTAGTAAAGTAACTAGACATATTCAAGCACGACTGGCCAGTTCTTTTATTATAGCTAGGACAAATTTCTACAAGGGATTGAGTTCCCTATATAGGTAACCTTTAATTTCGAATCCGAAGTCAAATTTTCAAAATTCAATATGGTGGACAAGTTTAGTAAAAATTCATCGGATTCATTTAAAATTCGTTACTTGGGTGTTTTCGGCGTCGTATATTAAAAAATTGATATCTGATTTTCTATTCGCGGTCTTACGCGAATGAACTAAACTTTGCCTACATTACCATACGGTCGGAAAGAAATTATATGTACATATCTGGGGTAAAATTCCTGTAGCGAACTAAGTGAAAAAAGTTGATCGGATTAGGCTGTAACTGCACATAGTTTAGCCCTAGGGTTGCGTACTTTAACCACGAAGTATTGTTAGGTTTTTTCAAAAACTGTCGGAGAGGGAGGGGGTTGAATTTTTTTGAAAAATTTAAACAGTGAATTTTTGAAGACTTGACTTTTAAACAGAAAGATGAAAAAAATTTGACCTACGTGTTTTCGATAGTTTTTTTCCTGCTCATTCGAATGGGGTAAACATTTTTTCAAAAAATTCAAAATTTGACTCTTTTTTAGAAAATCAAAAATATTTTTGACTTTTTTTTCAAAGTTGAAAATGTGTATTTTCATCACAAAAATATTGATATATCCTTTTTTGTTATTTTAGGGACATAAATTAATTATTTAAGGGGTTACATGGGTCAAAACTGGCAGAAAATGTATGTTTTGAAAAAAAAAATTTTTTCATATAGTAAATCATTTTTTTCTTTTAACATTTTGGTTTCTTAAAATACACTATAATATAAATAATTCATAAAATTTTTGAAAAAAATATTCAAAAACAGGTCCGTAGCAATAGTTTCTTTGAGGCCCTTCTGAAAAAATTGATTTTGCGGTGGTCACGATATTTTTGGACTGCTTCATTCAAAATCAAAAACTAAAATATTTTCTGTTAGTGGGTGAGTATGGCTCGTGATTGAACGAAGGGTTTTGTTTGCTGTTGATTAGAACAGATTTTTCACAATCTAAATGGTCCTAAAAGTTGTACATTTTGATATAAAACGCTGCCAAAAATTCAAATTTAATGATGAGCTGATTACGAAAATGATAGTGGGCGGATATGGCCGAAAGTATTCTTCGGACAAAGTCGGGTGGGATCCACAGCAGCAGTCCTTGCAATTCGATGTACGCGGCCGCGTAAGGTACTTTTCTTATGTATTTTAAAGAAACCCTGGCGGTGGGGGGTGGATGTGGTTGAAAGTATTCTGCGTGGGATGATTAGCAGCAGTTTACGGAACTCGATGTACGCTACCTGCGGTGTGGTTTTTTGTATTTTTTTGGATTTTTGTCAAAAAATAACTAGTTTTGGTAAAAAATGTATGACATAAAATGTGTGTTTTTTAAGACCTTCAAATTTTATTTAAAACATTTTTTGAAATGTTGCGTTTTTACGAGATAATCGCAAAAACCATGATTTTATGGTGTTTTTTAATGGTTTTTACCATGGTAATCACATTTGCGCCAATTTTCGCAATCATTTTCGTAATCAGGGCACCAAAATACGTTAGTATATCAAGTTTCATTAAAATCGAACAGGAGACGCTTTCGTAACTTCACCCAATTAATTAATTAACTAATATCTCGAAAATAACAAAAAAGGACATCTTAATATTTTTTGAGGTAAAAATGCACATTTTTAACTTTCACAAAAATAAATATAAAAAAACACCGAACTTAAAAAGAAAGTCAAAAAATTTTTTAATTTACAAAAATGGGTAAAAATTTGAACTTTTTGAAAAAAATTTTGCACTATTGTTTAAATTTAAAAAAAAATTAACCCCCTCCCTCTCCGACAGTTTTTGAAAAAACCTAACAATACTTCGTGGTTAAATTACTCACCCATAGGGCTAAACTATGTACACGTTACAGCCCGATCCGATCAACTTTTTTTTCACTTACTACGCTACAGGTATTTTACCCCATATATATAAATATATATATATAAATTGTTATGCAATTACTTATATTAGTTAACTATAATAATCTCCGTATTCTTTCATGTTTTCATTCCGTCCGTATGCCCACTATCTTTTTGGCGACAAAAAAAAGGAGCGAAAGAGGGACAAATAGGAAAGTAACTTATATCTTATTTGTTAATAATAAATAATAATAATGACGAAAGGGCGTCCTGTTTTCTTGTTGGCTGTTTATCTCTCCTAACTTTGAACATACATTTTATTCTCTTATCAACGTTAAATTGTTTGTTATTTGTTTATTCATGTAATAAAAAAAATTTATTAATTCTTTTGTTTTTAATATTTTTATTAAAAAAATAGTAAATAATATTTTAATTTAATGATATTTGCTGATGAGAGAGAAAGAATAAAAGATGGAAATTAACGCCTATCTTATTGGTTTTAAAAAAGGGCGTCCTGTTTTTTCATTGGCTTATTATCTTTCCTAACTTTCTACATGCATTTTATTCTTTTAATAAAGATAAATTTTTTGTTTTTCTTGTTCTTGATTTAATATAATTAATTATAATTTATTTATTATATTTTTCATTGAAGAAAAAAATATTAGTATTAATTTATCAATGCAACATATTTAATCATAAAGGTATTCATTGGTATAAGGAAACAGGCACGATTTCTATTGTTCCCTCTTGCAGCCGAAAATTCTTTGCATGCGCGAAAACGCATTAATCGTTTAACCCCTTAATTGCGATGACGAAGATTTGACCATCAAAATCTTCGTCATCAGCAGTTAAGGGGTTAAGCGTATTTTGTGTAAAGAAAC